AGAAATTGTTTCACCATTAAGGATTTACTGGGAATGCATTAGAATATAAGACTGACTAAATAATTTTAAATAGTGGTATAAATCCGGTAAGGAATAAATTTACTTTTTCTAATTAATTCTGATTGTACTCTTATATGTGATTTCAATTAAAAGCGATTAAACTTTAATTTGAGAGGGTCATTAGTGCTTAATTTTTTTTTTCAGAGAAAATTGTTCTACTATCTATCCATATGACTGGGTTTTAAAACTCATTTTAATAATTATATTCGTTGACACGGACTGACTAGACAGAGTCTCATTATAACAATGACTAGGTGAAAATCCTTGTAACCTATGCGATATGTGCCACAAATTCTTAAAGCATAGCGTAATGAACCTTATTACTAAACATTAGGCTTAATATTACACTAATGCTAAATCACAACACTGCAAAATTTAAACAGTTCGAAGTGGAATGTATTCATTAAAATGGTTAATATATAATATAAGATACATATTATACACTTAAAGTTGATACATAAAACTGTCGGAAATATTGGAATTTAAACAATGTTGATTGATTGCTTAAACCACAAGGATGAATAAATAGAGCGGTATTAATGAAAGTAATTGAAGTTTAACCATAGTTAAAGCATTCACAACGAAAATTCCGGCATATTTTAGTATTCAGGTAACGTAGAGGCAATAGACTACGAAGTTTCCGCTTTGATCTACTCTAAAAAATTTGCTACCATCTTTGTGGCTTTAGAATATGCTTGTCCTTTTTATTTCCAACTTCTGAAGTGTCTTTTGATATTGTTATATATGTATAATACACGTAAAGTATTATTTAGATAAAATGCTAGCTGTTACTAGCGACTTCGTCTGCCTTTTTTGAGATAAAATATCCGTATATATCCGTCCTTATCGTATAATCTATCTTTATAAAAAAATCTTTAAGATCCAAGCGATCATTTAGTCGTGAAAACCATTATTATCTTTGTTACCTTTACACATCTAAACGACTGATAAACATACATACAAAGACATGGTTTCACATTGATAATATTAGAATGAACACAAAGACTTCGTTACCAAAATAGTTCTGGCGCCGAAACTATGTTCGTATGATTTTGACAAATACTGATATTGTAATAAAGACTAATTTGCACTACTCACGTATAGAGACTGACTCATATGTCTTTGAATGAACGTAATTGCGTTTACTTGTAATTCTAAATCCTATTTAAGCTTGTAGCGTACGATGAGTTACGTGTATATATAATATTGTTCGTTCATAGTGATTGTTTTTGTTTGCCATTTGTTTTGTATTATTTTTAGATGTATTTATGATGGATATTCATAATTATTTAGTAGGCATAAGTTATGCACAAAGCTGTCATGCGTATATGGACTATTTGTATTCACAACCGGGTTTTAACACGAATAATTTTAGGGTAAATAAAGGTATTTACCTACCTCGACATATAAATGCGTTATTTCTAATCCATAAATTGTTATAAATATTCGATAAAATTAAACAATGTAATAGATCAATTGTAGAGATTAGATATGAAGTTTGATGTACGAGATTTGTATGTTGGATATATAAGACTGTATTACTTAATGAATAAATTATAAAGATCATAATGAACGTATAAGAATCAATCTAGAAAATTTAAAGGACGAAGTTAACACTAACTTAAACATATGACGTACATATACCGGTTGTTATCTTAATGTATTCTAAATGGCTTCTCTATTTATTCACCTCTGTGGTTTAAATGTATTTAAACCCAGCAAGCACAGGTAAACATCGTTTATAATATGATCACAACGCCTTCGATTAATGTATCTTTTAAATAATAGTGAGTATTATTGGCATTAAATTTGAAACGTGAAATTACGGTACGTATTGTTTTAATCTATATGATACTCGTATAAGTACTTTATATTACTTATATATCAACAATATTGAACACTATTATCGATTAATGTATAATATAATATAATAAAATTTAGAAGTAATAATCGAGACATAACGCAGGGGACCCACCCTTTCTGCTATTCTTTTATAGTATTTTATATATCAGATTAAAGAAAATAAAGGAAATAACTGTTTACCTACGTTTGTTATTTATATTGAACCGAATTTCGAACTTATATTATTATTCTCGATACAAACAATAAATAATATTTTTATTTGTGTAGTATAAATAAAATTTGTATATAATACCAGAAAATATATCAGCGTATTTAGTGGATCAGTTAAAAATAGTAAGGATATAAGCTTACATTAATTAATTAACTAAAACTATAGTTTCATCAAATATATAGGTAACTAAAAATAATTATATTCATATCATACAATCTTAACACGATAGATCTCTTTAAAAGAAATAAATTTCTAAATTGTAACATACATTGTTAAAAAAAGTATAATCCTTAGAACAAGTAATGGAAGTTTATAGACATCTTTATAATTTTCTTCTAGAATATACGGAGAATAGAATAGAATAGAAAATCCTTTATTCAATTGGGAGAGAATATTGTAGAATATTTTATTTCAATTTCCCTATAAATTTGATGAAATATTTTCTATCGCTATATTATTATATTATAGTAACTCTAAACTACAAGTATGCAGTAAGCACAGTAACTATTTTAGAACTTACGCTTTTTTTCATGTGTTTATTAGAAATTTTATGTACATACATTACTTAGCACTTTATAAATAGTTCACAAAAAATATTTAATAAGCCATTAGGTATACCGTAACTTTATATATCGTGTCAAATATTCAAATACCTAATTAGAATTTACTCCCTATAATCATTATTAAAATTATATTTAGTATCATTAAATTCAATATCATTGAAAGAAAATAATGATTACTTTAAGAATAGTAAATTACTTCGCGTGACAAGTAAAACTATTTCTTTTTAATAACAATTTTAGATAAATACAATGAGTTTTCAAAAATAAAGTTTATACATTCAACTAACTTAAATAACGAAGCGAAGTAATGATAGTAGCAATTACTTATATACATATTGGGAAATGTCTTTTAATTTTTACATTAAGTACTTTTATATTATATTACATTATTATCACACCTAAACACACTATAATATCTATCTATTTTAGCAGCAATATCTATTATATAACGTAACTTAAAACATAGAACTTCATTCAAAAGTAAACTTAATTTATTTTTATATTAAATTCATTATTAAAATGTGACCACCAAGATTACCTTGGTCGGTTTTATTATGCGAAAAGATTACACTGAAAGTAAGTTATCAGAGCGGATTTACTTTGATCCAATACTAAGAAGAATAATTTTTATATCTGCTTTCCTTTCTAAAAGCTTCTCAATATTATTGCTAGGTATATTTAAAATCTACAGCGCTTCTTTATAGCTATGTAAGTCGTAATTATCCCAGATTTCAACTTTATATACATTTTCTTATATACGACAATGTAAAGCTTCACATAGATCACTATAATTATCTAATAGAAAATTTCATTTGGTACGTTTACTATTTACCTTAATACTAATCACTTTATTTATGAAAACCTACACCAACAAAACCATTTTAACTATTATAGTGTTTTTTACTTTCTATCGAATGAAGAAAATAACTCTTAAGAACAAAACATGTCAACACCTAAAATAATTTTCTGATTTAGCGTTTTCATAAATCAAGGAATATATATATGACACTTAATACAAAATACATTTAAAGATTTCATTTAATATTTACTCTAAATTAGCAAATTATTTCTCTATATAATGAGTGAATTGCAAGCGAATATCTAAATAAACACGACAATTCTAGCTACCAAGAAATAATCCTTTTCATTGACAATATAATTTATATTACCATTTACATAATAAGATATTCGTTTAAATTCTATGAGTAAAAGAATATAGCGCGCAACAAAACCGTATGGGAATAATTATATCTAAGTAATCAATTCTGTCATTGTATTTAAATAGGTTTATGCAATATTAACTGTAATAATATTATATTTATTATGACATATAATGTATGTCGTAATAAATATAACATATGTTGTATATACAACATATATTATATTATATCATAGTGTTATGTTATTAATTAAGTTGAAATTACCTTTGGCAAAATAATTAAAAGTAATGTGAGATCTAGTTCCCTACGTATACACAATACAATACTTATGCACTTAAAATAATAGATTTATAGCTATTTTATTTTCATATGCATTTCTAAAACTGTGTATAATATATTTTAAATTTAATTATTGAACTGTCTTTTTAATTACTGATCCCAATAATCTGAAAGATGTGTTGAAATATATTTACATATTATTCTTTGTTATTTAGTGAATTGTAAAATTTTCTAGTCTCAAGTAATATAGCTACACTTTGAATTGTTTATGTGTTTGTTAGGTAATTCTTTCCATTACATTCTAAACGACTACTCGTAAATAAAATGGCCGTAATATAAATCAGTTGCTAACAATTCTCTTTTGTAACAGATGAAAATACTCTACGATTATGTATGTACTACTAGAAAGTTACTGAAGCAGGTTTGTAAATAAATATCCTTACTTTCTATTTTTATTTTTTTATCTTTTCTTTCTTTTTGTCATAATAGGTTATAAATAACTACGTAGCAAACTGTTAAATTCAATCTATGTATTACAAACGAGTATTGTTCGTAACTGAATAACATAATTTAATTGGAAGCTAAACTAAATAAATAGAATAAATTGTTATGAATCTACCATACATCTTATTGTACAGAAAAATAAGAGAAAATCGCTTAGTATTTTTTCAAAAGGTTAGAAAATTTACTGAAATAAGAGGTGTTAAACTCCGAAAAAACATTTTGATGAGCAAACTTTTCAAATCAACAGTTTACAAAGCAATTAAGATAAGTATTTATAATATTAACAATGTTTCCGTTAACTTTGAGTGAGTTGTGACGATCATTTTTTTAAATATAAATATCGAGTTTTTATAATATCGACTAAGTAGGTTCCTCGCTATCGACATCCCCAGGTTTTGCTTGGCCGATCCCGAAATCCTTTAAGGCATCTTGTATATGTTTAACCTGTTAAAAAAATTATACTTAAAAGCTTTCGACTATATTCTAATATATTTCACAAGGGTCTGTAATAGATCTACGTAAATTAGGATTTAAATTTAATTTAATTTATTGTAATTACAATTTCTGTCCAATATAAAAACAATTTTAAATGAAAATGTTGCTGATGTAAAATCTCTTTGTATTATATTAAAGAATTGTAACATTTTTTGGAAATTTTTACTGTTAGCACAAGTATAGAAAATTATATTAATGAAAGATTCAATAAATGAGGTAAATATACTGTTTATTAGGATAGCCAGTTTATGTTCGTATTATATTTCGAACTTTATAAGTTAAACGTAGAAACTGAAATCTGATAAAGTTATTAGCTTTGTTATTGAATGAAAATCATATAATAACAAAAGTAAATTTAAATTTAAACAGTCTTATTCTATTCTGTTGGCAATTAAGTAAAAATATTATTTTAAATATTAATAAAAATTATTAATACTATCTTAAAACGTTCAACTTAGATATCTGAATTTAAATTAGATATTATATATTTATTTCAAATTAATAAAATCTGACTATTTTACAGAAAATCACTTTACCTAAACTAATCCTATACAAAGACAATAAATGCAAATACTTTACAGTAAGGATGTAGAGAACAATCGTTGTTATGTATTCGTATGCTAATTTCTGGCAACACTGACTCACCTGCGACGCCTCCGGGTCTGTACCCGGATGTTTGTACTTATGTAGGAAGTAACATGTCCCCGGTATATCCTTGGGGAAGGAATTAGGTAGGCACGATCTATCCCTCGGCTCCATCTCAAACCCCGGGAATTTTATTAACCACCTACAAGAAAGGAATATGTTACAAAACTAAATTTAATGCAAATCTACCTATATTAGACTGGCTATGCGTCGCGGTACATCCGCTGTTTAATTTAGAGTGAATCTGGTAGTATAGTCATATGCCCGAGCTATTGCATTAGAAATTTGCTTTATTAGTTTATTTTATTTAGCGTTCTTTTACTTTTTATTATACGTCGTAGGGTGAACAATACCTAAATACATAGTCAGCCCAACCTTCAGTATACGTACAGGTGTTGAAAAATGAGAACAGATTTCAAATTTTTCATATTCTCTTCCAAACATTAATACTCGTTTTCCAAATATTCAGCTGTTTAGTCACGAAAAGGTAACAAACAGACAGGTACATGTTCGTATTTATGAGTATAGATAATATACTTTCTCTATTCAAAAGCGAGTACGATTTCTACGGTTTCTCAACATGAATTAAGTGATATGATAGCGAGTATATGCGATGTATGAAACGTCCGGTACACCAATTGCCATGTAAAACATCATATATTTTTAGTTTAATATAAAAAAAGACGGAAACGTATGAAAATAAATGGTTATTGCTTTTTGATATGTCTCTGTGTCACAAATGGAATGATTGAGCCCAATCCATTAGAGAAAAAGTATTTGAAATATCACGGAAAAGGGACGCGCCTAATCAATGTTTTTGTTGATGTATCACTTCATGTTCTATATGATTTATCAGTTGAATGAGAAGAATTTTTGAATAATATTCTACATTAATCTATAATGAAGAATATATTTTCAACAATTATTCTCTAGAAGAAATGTAGGTAAATATATCTTGACGTCAAGCAGCGCTACATTCATTTGTGACAACCTAGATGAGACAGAATAAAATCTACTGAAGGTATATGTATAATATAAATGAAAGTAGTCTAAGTACGAGTAGCATTTTAGAACTGATGAGTGTATAACCTTTCATTTCAATGATCAAAACCAAATAATTTGATATAATACTACATAATATATCCTATGTGAAACTTCCTATGTTAGAAGTTTGTTAAAAATAATCTTTATGCAAAGAGAAGATTCTAAAGATGTATATTTAGTTGTATAATTGCAAATATTTCTACACAAACTCTCTGAATACTCATTTTCTTGTTAGGTACTAATTATTACATAGTATAAAACAAAGTCGCTGTCGTTGTCTGTCCATCCCTATGTATGCAAAACTACGCAACGGATTTTGAAGAGTTTTTTTTTTAATAGATAGAGTGATTCAAGAATAAGGTTTATATGTATAAAACATGTACACCCGGGTGAAGCCGGGGCAAGTAGCTAGTTTTTAAATAAAATAAAACACGTACCTACCTACCTACTACCATATTATTTATTTTAATTTCAGTAAAACAACATCTATTCATTTAAAAACGTCCATTCAAATTCCGTCACGTCGCAAGTTCCGTGATGTTACAAAAATGGACATTTTGTAATACCGTATTTTAATAAATTACAAAGTAAAATGTAACAGCAATGGACCGACTGGGGCGGACTACAAAAGGATCTGTAAGCTTCAAAATTAACAAATGGAGGATTTGCGAACATTTAACAATGACTGTGTTTGTAATAAAAGTTTTGACTTGCTGTATAGCTATTTCCTCGTATTCTATACGACCCTTTTCATATTTTCTAAGTATTTATCTTAATAAGGTATAAAATATATTTTTTTGATCTTAATAAGGTACAAGAACATTCAAATAGTAACTTAAAAAAAGCTTGGATCTACGATAACTACCTTACATAAAGTTTTACTTGGCCATTCTTACATACGACATCGGAAAACATTTGGCATTTGCTTCTAACTTAACCAAGGGGGATTAAGTTAGAAGCAAATGTCGTAAAGACATTAAGAAGTTGCAGTTGAAGAAGCTATGGTTTGGACTGGCGCATCCGGTTGAGCTCTCAACTCTATTTAGGGATCACAATAGTTTTGGGTTGATATTAAAAAAGGAGTTTATAAACACCTCAGAGTCAACAGTTTGTCTCAAGAAAATCTCAAAACAACTTAGTCATATCACAAGAGAAACAAAAAAGGGAATACAAAATCAACGCCAAAAAATTATCAGAGTTAGACTGTAAGAAGTCAAAAAATTAACAGAGTCTGATGAGTACTCCACTTTAGCCGCCAAGCAGGATGCTTTCCATCTTGTATTCCGATTGTATGGTGCAATTATAGGAGAAGAGAGGCATGACATCTTAGTTCTCTGGAATGGCAACGCATGAGTGGTATAGCGGCGATCATATAACTGGTGATGTCTATAGTATTTTTCTGTTATTATGTATATAGAAGACGGTTACCGCTGACCATCAGGTGGACCATAAGATTGTTTGCCATTCTAATTACGTAAAAAAAAGCACTTACTCATACGTAGTGGGACTGACATTAATCATCAATGGTTCAGAGCCAGATTCGAACTTGTTGGCGAGTGTAACGTTGTGCCCGAACAAGCAGTACTTCAGCATTGTTTTGCCGACCACACCAGCTAACACTGTCCCGGTGTGAAGACCAATACGCATCTGTATAAAAAAGTAAAAAATATCAATATCAAATGTTTGCACTGTGCTAGGAATCGAAGCGACCTTCGGAAGTAAGGCGGTGGGCTAAACCGCTAGACCACCGTGGTATATGGACATATAATACCGTAGTCCTGCATCTTGCACCACATAATTACGATGTCTTTTGTATTCTTCATGTTTACAAGGGTTGAACGCCACATTCCATCAAGTGGTTCGTTAGTTTGTTCAACAATTTAGTCTAAAAAAAGGAAATCATTTAGCTATGAATGTATCAATGATAAAAATTAGGAAGTGTCAAGTGTACACAAAGTTTCTAAATAATTAATTTTCTTTCCTATTAATTAGCCGTCATTTCAAATTTTACAAGAGTTATATATATTTTTTATTTTTGTGCATAAATAATATATTTGTGAATATTGCGAATACAAAACGTGATTAAGTACACTATTAATCGAGTAATCACTTCCTTTTAGTTTCTTCTATCCAATCAAAAATTTTTTTTTCTAAAAGCTTGATTAAAAGTTTTTTATCTTTTAATAGGAATGTAAAATTTTACAGATGGAACAAATACTTCCAAAAATACTAATTCAACAGATTTTATACTAATATTACAGATTTATATCCTGCCAACTAGTTTTCTAATATTTAATTATTATTTGCTTACTTTAAGTTTCGGCACTGTTTATTTCAATACTGATATAAGTTTTGACCTCTCTCCGATCGAACCCCGTCCGATTCAAACGAGGATCGAAATTACGACAGCCTAAGCCAAGGTTCGGACCCCTGGCAGTACCCCCAGATTAAATTCGTTTCTGTCAGGCGGGAGTTGCCATTAGCCGCTCCATAAGTCCGCGGGTTTCGAATGCCATCTACACTCTCCCTCTATCGTCTGGTGAAACTGTAAAAGCTGGGGCCAATAGTATTAGAGTTGTGGGGAAAAAAATGTTTCGACTATTTTGTGCCACAATACATGAGAAAAAAAACAATAGTACACTTTTATAAATACCTTAATGGGATTCCCTTCATGTGTGAGGTGTTCTGCACAAGTTTCAACCATACGTAACGCCATCCATGCAATTTGAGGCGCATGTGTATCTATTTTCTTATGTAAACCGCTAGCAACGCAATAGGCATCGCCTATAGTTTCCACCTATTAACAATAAGTAACATTTTCATTAAAGTAAAATTTACTTAGATAATAAAACTAGGCTATTTAAAAACATCTTTCCATTATGTAATACTAGTTGTCTCGCGCAACTTTGTCAGCATCATACTTAGCTGATATATTTCGCCCAATTCACATAATAATCTTTTTAAATTATAGCCTATGTAATATTCTGATTTATATGCTATAATATTAAAAAAATTCAATAAAATCCATTCAGTAGTTTTTGCGTGAACATCCATCCATACTCACAAACTTTCGCGTTTATAAGATTTCACAAGTACAACAAACATTAAGGAACTTAAGTTATCTTATAATTTTAATTACAGGAGAGCTATTGTTTTACGTTATCAGGTCGTTAAGTTTTGAAAGCCACGCTTTGTCGTCAAGTCATTTATTTGAATTATGTGCTACTTTATAATCTTTACATTGTAAACCCAAGGACTTTCAGAGCTAAATTATGTGCATTAACTTTTTATATCCAGGTAATTTAAGCTGTTATAAAAACGTTTCACTGCAGTAATGTTATTACAGTATGAAAATATTCCGACACTTAATTACTATGTGATTGAAAAAAGTGCATTCAGAAACACATTGCTTTTCGGTTATACAAAAACTAATTCGATGAATTGGATTTAAAATTGGAATTTAAATCGAAAATCCGATGAATATTTGATACGTGACTGTATTTTTAAAAATATTTTTTAATGTTTTAAGTTTATACCCATTTCGAGGATCATTTTAATTCAACTTTAAAATTTGACATAAAAACTTGTGATAGCTTTAGGTGACGGGGTATACATTTACTGTACAAACTAAAAAAAATTAATAATAATATACTTTCATGATTGTTAAACCAAGATATATAATAGGATACCGATATCATAGTATTATTATGAAATGACATATCTCTCCAAATAGTACTCTACTATATTTACACCCGCTTAGTATAGGATTTTATTTATATATTTTTCTGACTACTGCAGTCAGGGAAAAAAATCATCATTATGGTGAACAAAACACTTGATGCCCACATTTCTCTTGGTATATTTGAATAAAAAGAATATATGATATTTCATTTCATCCAATACGTATCATAGTATGTGAGACATTTTCACTTTAGTTTGCCTATCCAACTTTTGATATGACGTGACGCCGTCGTATAGTTTCCGTATGCGTAAACTATTTCCCCGAATAAATTCAGGAGAGGGATCATTGTCAACGATATAGAAAGAAAACATATACTATATTGGTTTCGTTACGTCAAAACCTAATAGGATTTGCTACCTAGTCTAATAGACGAGTGAAGCACTAGGAATGGCGCTCGGCCTATTCAAGCCCAATATATCCCAGGTATACTAAAGGGTGTACGCACGACGCGATAGGGCACCTGATTGGGCATGGTAATCTATCGGATTTTGTTAACATTTAATACTATATTATAATGGTATATAGTCACTGCGACTTTGAGCCATACTATGTAATTATGACCATCTCTACAGTGAAAAAATGACTGATGAGAAACTAAATATTAATTGGAAAGACTGCGATAGGCTCGCTAGTTACCACGTTTAGTTTCACATATACCTAGGAAATTTAACAACGTCAAGTGTAGCATTCATCATGATATCAACAATTGATAATGCTTCTGACTTTTAGTGAACATGTTTTTTTTTATATTATTTGTTGCACATAAATACATTATATAGGTAAGCTCACTAGAAATAATGTTAAAAAAGGATTTATATCTTATTTTGTTGTTCTAAAAAAGTCTAATACAATTTCGTACAAAAATGTATTAATCAAAGTGATATGGTCCGGCTTTGGAAATGAAAACCTTCAAAATTAATCTATACCATAACCATTACGGTTATTTGATTGCTTTCAAATAACCGTAATGGTTAATTTATAATTTATATGTAAAAATATATAGTAAAAAACACATACAGCTCTAATCAAATATTTCGTTTCAAATGACGCTGTTAAAAACGTAGTGATTACTTGCTCAGTATACATCTATTAAATATAAAATTTTACCTTATATACATCCAACTCTTCACAGAATATGTCGAATACAGAATATAAATCCTCCAGCATGTCTATGACCATCATGGGGGTCGCTGTTGCACAGATGGATGTGAAGCCAACAATATCGCTGAATAGCATCGTGACATCATCATGGCTTTTCGCTTCTATCTTCTCACCTTGAAAAAAATACTCAAATTATTATTACGTAGTTACTAGATGACTAACCGCTGACCACAAATTTTCTTATCATAAGGCTCAGCCATACTCAGTTGACGTTATTTAAATTTTTTATTAATTCTTCCTAAACGATAAGAAGACATTTTAAAACATAAACAGATAAAAAATGTTTGAACAAATACAGAAAATAGTGGATATATTAATGAAAAAATTTAGAATTTTAAAAGTGATCATGTATTAATATTTGTAGCTTCAATATTCTTACTATTGATTTTGGCGCGCAAATAAGTACATATATCATTACAGGCAGCCATTGTGCGCAGAGTACAAAATTAAAAAATGTGGATTCGAATTTCAAATTCAAATGAATAAAATAATTTGAAATATATTTTATTATTTATTCCTACGTTATTTGTTTAGGTTATATTTTATTGTGATCTTTGCAATAAGATACAGTGATTACTTACTTAGCACATAAATATTACCAATATTTACATTAATTTGTGAATTATACAAAATTTTTGGTGGTAACGCGTTATTATAAATCTACTACATTCCATTAAACTTATGTGTCAACTTACATAATGTTTTGTTTAAACGCTTCAAAGACTTTGCATATACTGTGTTTATACATAACAAACAAGTTGAAATCCCCCATGGTAAGCTTAAAACGCTCGGACAAAGCGGGCGTTGAACAAACGTTAATTGATCCGAAGTTTTCAATGAATAAACTTAAATTGAATACATATATTGATAGGTAAAAAGCAAAGCCGCACTAATATATACTAACCCAGGACAATTTTAATAACGCAATCTAGTCACTAACTAAGCAGAACTTCTACTATACATATTAAATTAGTTATAGAAATATTTAAATACATTTTTTTTGTAAATATATATCTATCTTCTTTTTTTTTTTGTTTTTTTTTTATTTTTTTTTTTTTTTTATTTTTTTTTATTTTATTTTTTTTTATTTATTTTATTTATTTTTATTTTTTTTTTTATATATAAAAGAAAGTCGTGTTAGTTACTCCACTTATAACTCAAGAACGGCTGAACCGATTTAGCTGAAAATTGGCAGGGAGATAGTTTAGAGCCAGGAGAAGGACATAGGATACTTTTTATCCCGTTCGACAGCATTCCCGTGTGACTTGATATGAAACGTCAGTCACTATAAAACGTGGTATAACAAAAAAGAATCAGACTTGGAATAACAAAACGCAAATGACAGCTATGTATGTATAATGACGTATGTATGAATGACAATTTGATATTTGTAAGAAATCAATAATAAAACTATTTCTACGGCTAAGAATAAAGATGTAGATGACCTAAATTACATAATTCAAAATAAGATCATTGGAACAATGCATTCATTCAAATCTATTGACTGCGTCACAAATGAAGATGAAGCCACCAACTATCCAATTGAATTTTTAAACTCTTTGGACGTGCCTGGCTTACCACCGCACAATTTACGCCTAAAGGTTGGCTCCGTAGTAATCATGCTTCGAAACATAAACCAACCAAAACTGTGCAACATTTTACATTGCACTGAATAAAATATTTTTCTTTCTTTCTTTCAACGGTACGCGTTTGGTGGTTAGAAAATTGATTAACAATGTAATTTACGCTACGATAATGATAGGAAAATTCAAAGGTGAGGAAGTTCTCATTCCGAGGATACCGATGATCCCAACAGATATGCCGTTTGAATTTAAAAGACTTCAATTTCCGATACGTCTTGCATTTGTCATGACCATCAACAAATCACAAGGCCAATCCTTAAAAGTTTGTGGTTTAAATCTAGAACATTCATGTTTTTCCCATGGTCAATTATACGTGGCATGTTCACGGGTCGGAAGACCATCTGCGTTGTTTGTTTTTGCGCCTGATAATAAAACAAAAAATGTCGTGTATCACAAGGTACTTAAATGAAGAGCAACCAATGTACTAAAATACAGAAATAATTATGAATGATTAATGTAGGTATTTAATTTTTTTGTATTTTTTCCAGTTAAAAAAAAAATCTGCTTATTTATTGCCATTAAGGCGGAACAAAGTTCGCCGGGTCAGCTAATATATATATAAAACACGACACCTATATGCTTAACTCATGAAAATATTTATATTGTACGAGAGATTAAAACCCACGGCAAACTAACAACGGAAGATAGGCACATTATATAATTTATAATATGATAAATAATTTATTGGTAGTTATAGAGACAGTGAATTGACATTTTTATATCCAGGTAATTTTGCATAGAATTTTTTATAATTTTGATTACAGAATACAAAACATAAACTCTAAATATATTAATATTAAAAGAGTTTCTCAACACAAACCGATCAATTACTGTTTAATAAACTACGTACTTTCCCGTCTTTCTCGTGTTTCTTGTACTTTATTACTATTTTTATAAGGTACCTTTTTGTAACGGAAAAAATACTTAAAGAACTTCCATTTTTATTACACCTTTATCTAAATATGTATTATTATTTCAATATATTCAGGATCCATCTATACATATAAATAAAATTGGAGTATCAGTTTGTAATATTGAAATAACCGTTTTTTACTACATGCATATGAATATAAATAAGGTACATACACCAAAATAACATTTTTTACAATTTTTATGTCTGTCGGTCTGTTTGTTCCAGCTAATCTCTGAAATGGCTGGACCGACAGGATTTTTTTTGGCAGGTAGCTGATATAAGAAAGAGTAACTTAGGCTACTTTTATTTTAGAAAAATAAAGTTAAATTCTACGCGGACGAAGTCGCGTGAACAGCTAGTTATAAATATAAAATCAAACAGTGTTTCTCTTTTCCAGTCTTCATGAGTTTAAATAATTTCACAGCTGTTACTTAATGAAATATCACCCCACAATATTGAAATACAGTTCCTCTAAATCTTGAATTACATTTAGTTAAACGGATGGAGGGTGTTAATTAATTGGAGATTGAGATTCAATATATCTAGGAACATGTACGAAAGTGTCATTGTTTTGACTTCAATAGACTTTAGTACAATTGAGATCTAAATTAATGAGATAAGAGAATGTATATATAATATGTACGTAATATTCTATACAGAGCTGATTATTACGAGGTACATTTTGATGGCCTCGGTGGTCTACTGGTTAAGAACACTACTTTATTTACGATGGTCGCAGATTCTATTCCTCGCACGGTGCAAGACATTTGTATTCATGAGTACGATTGTTTGTATCGGTCTGGGTGTTTTCAATATATATTAAGTATGTGTTTACAAAAAAAAAGTATCTAAGTATTTATATCAGTTATCCATAACACAAGCTCTGCTTACCGTGGGATTAGATGGAGATGTATTAATTTTTCAGTGTTATAAGAAAAATATGTTCAATAAATCTCCAAAGACCGTCCCACCGCCGGAAGGATGGCGGAATGTATGGGATTTTTAACTACTAAAAACCGCATTATGAATTCAAATAAGCACACTACAACTTTTGCAATAGTAAGCTTTGGAAAAAAAAAACATTATGCAAAATTTGCACAAAACGTATATCGCATAATATACCTACTTCCAAAAATAGAAATTAAATTTCCAATCTCTTTTAAGTTCATTGAAAATTGATCGAATTTCGTTGTCGTCGTCTGTTCGTCGTCTAAAATAAAAGTAGCCTATGTTACTCCTTATTACATCAGCTACCTATCAATAAAAGTCTCGTCAAAATCAGTCCAGCCATTTCAGAGATTAACCGGAACAAACAGACAGACAGACAAAAATTGTAAGAAATCTTAGTTTGGTGTATGTACCGTATTTATATTCATATGCGTGTAGTAAAAAACGGTTATTTCAATATTACAAATAGGTGTCTAGTTGTAATATTGAAATAACCGTTTATTATTTTTATTCATATATATAGATTAGCTATTCTGTAGTAAGTTTTGATAGCCTATGATATTAAGAAATTAAGTACAGCCTCTGATGACTTATAATGAAGTTATCCACATAAATTTTTAATGGGTTTTATATGGGAAAAGTTGGTTTATTTTAGTGATGAGAGATATATCTATAAACTTGTTTTATAGCAACAATATTTTTAAAATATAGATGAGAAATAGTCAAGTAGTTCTGCAAAATAAGATGATAATAATATGGTTTCTAAAAATTTATATGAAATATGGATATATATATATAATAGCTAAGTAATATTGAAAATAAAATGTCAATAAAAGAAAGAAATATATGGTTTAGTATATTAATTAATAATAATATTTCAGGACAATTTACATAGCGCCATCTAGTCTCAAGCTAAGAAGAGCTTGTGTTATAGGCACTAGACGATTGATATTAATACATAGATACACTTTTTAAATAATCTAGTAATCTGGAAATCTAGTATCGGTCTGGGTGTTGCCTTTGAAACCTATACAAAAAGACCGATACAAATAATCATTAGTACCGCCAAGGAATAGAACTCGCGACCATCAGAAATAAAGCGTTATGCTAAACCGCTAGACCACCGAATAACTGAAATAGCATCTCGTGGTAAGTGGTAACCGTCGCCTATATGGACAAACACATATCACGCTATCATGTCGTCGGCTTGACTGATTTTGATTGTTGTTTATGTTAAACGCCCGTAATTCCATACATTAATTGCCATTTCAGAGAAGTAAAATATCATACCTCTTATCTGGTAATTTCACTAGCTATTTCTATTTAAAAGAAAAAGGTAGTGATATTACAGAATAATCTTAGATTAAAAGCAAAACACAACTTCCTTGCGACTAAATAGGTGAAACTGAGGTAAACACGCGTATGACTTTTCACAAAGGCTAATCTCAAAGCAATTAATAAACTCAAACTAAAGTTACAAGAATTTTCTTATAAGAAAAAGCCTGCTTAATAAGAATTTATAATACTGGTAATAAACAAATGGTAATATATAAAAGCGATCAAGTCATTAAGCAATTAATGCCAGACTGCAACATTGTTAAATCTTTATTGATTGACGCTTGTGCAGTGCAGGTGTTATTTGCCACACGCAACGTGGGATACGTTGTTTATATCACCTTTATGATTTCTTTTTATATTAACGACAAAGACTTTTTAACGAAGAGAATTCTTCAAAGATTCGACCACTCGCCCGGGGGATATAGCCTGTCAGATGACGCTGCCTCGAGGTATACCAATGTCTTGCTAAACTAAATAAATCGATTCTAAGTCAAGTAGACCGCAATACCTGACGGTAAGTATAATAGTAACAGTCGTTCATATACATGAACCGCATCATCACATCAAGTTCGTAATACCCATTAAGATGTCATGACTTCGTATTCTGTAATTTTTCATTATTCAATAAAAAAACATGATAAAAAAACAGCCTGGTTGCACTGTGCTTACATGCCTGTTTTTTTATCGTGTGGAAAAATCTATAAAAGGCCGTTCTCCCATCCGGAGTGTTGAAGAGGGTGTGTGTGAGATTCTTAGCCACTAAAAACCACAGGGTGTACTACCACTACTAGCGCCATTGCTGAAATCACGAGAGCGTTAGCATAACTAGCTCAGTACCGGCGGCGTTAGCCCATCCTGTAGGTGATATAGGGCAGGCTCCATCTTATTGTAGCATAAAAGGCTAGCTGCTTGATAGCTGAAATAGTTGCAAAAAAAGAACGCAGATTTTGACCAAAGTTTACAACGGTAAATATTACCATCGCATCTTTTTAAGTCTGAAACATTACATTGTGGCTTTTTAAGAATTTAAATATTCAAGCACACGTGATGGTCGTGAAATCGCGGATGGGCGCATAAAATCAAATATGGAGGCAGGGTCGTAAAGATGGCGGCACCTAACGGTTGACCACTTAAAATGTTCAGATAACCTTCATTTTCATGTAAAATATCGTCGTAAAATTGATGCAAGATGTAATATTTAAAGGTATTTATATAACTACAATATAAAACATTATTTATTAGAAAAAATGTTAATATGAATAATATTTACAAGTATGTATACAATGACAATATATTTTTTTAACAAATGTTAGTTTAAAATAAATAACGACTTGGAACTGTAAAAGAATTTACATGTCCTTTTCATTCAAAATGTTTTTAACATTGCTGTATTATTCTATTAGTGCCAAATTTATACATAGTGTAACAAAATTATTGCAAGCCCTGAATAGCGTTCAGAACCAACTACTAATTTCCTATCCATTGTTTAACTTTTTAAAGTAATTGTAAGGGCAAATAAGCTAATAGCTTGATAAGTGGTAACCGTCGGATATATACATTATCAGCACTATGTGCATCAAGTTATCATATATAACTGCGATACCACTTATACGTTGCCAAGGACTTAAATGGTATACCTCTTATCCAGTGATTTGAAAACATGGATTTAGTTGAAGTATTATTCGTATAATTTAAATATAGAAAATATATTATTATTGACACATAACGATTCGACAAAACTGAACATGCATAAGCATCAAATATATGTATTATACACTCATAAAAAACTTTGAGACACGATTGTAAAACTGTACACAGTATTAAAATAACTAGTGAACAAAAGAAGCAGAAACATTTTATAAATCTTGGCGCAACTCGTAGCTTCTAAAAGTTTTATGTTGTTTTGCAAGTCATATAAACATTATCTAACTTCAAACGAGATAGTACTGATGTTAAGATAGAGTAAGATGTTAAGAAGTAAACTTATATTGCTTATATAAGTTTAACGAACTTTTGCTTGTTGCTTAGTGCAGTTTTAAAAAATTTGCAACAAGAACAACTCTTTACACGCGACTTCGATTGAGAGACTTTTTTAGAGTTTTTATACTTGTTGATAGGATACTTTGCAATATTATCTGTGAAAGTCGGATTTCTTTGAAAAGAGTTAAGAGAGACATTTTGTCAATAGAGAATGTTTGACACATTAAACTTTGTATATTTGATATGGTAGAGGTACAGGATACATCTCTGAAATTTTTGATCATATCTGTATCAGAAATATAAACAAAATAACTTTGTGTGTTTGTCGGTCAGATTTAAACTTATGACCTTTTGAGTGTAAGTCGGGGTAGCAACCCACTAAGCCACGAGGCACTATATAAAGTATAGTTGGAGGTTTATCATCCGTAACAACACTTGAGCAACTGTATTAATAAGAGACAACGAAGGAACAAACTCAGTGACCTTTTTAGATAGAATTTTTATACTTGTATAAAAAAAAAAACTGTAAACTTTGTATTTATAGATAAAACAGAATACTTTTTAATGTTTTCTGGAACATTAATTACATTGACGGTATTGGTGGTCTAATGGTTTAGCACACCGCTTTACTTCCAATGGTCGTGGGTTCGATTACTCGCACGGTAAAAACATTTATATACTTTAGTGTGATTATTTGTAGCTTTCTGGGTGTTTTCGACTATGTATGTATTTAGAAAAAATAAGTGTATCTAAGTATTTCCAGCAGTTGTGTAGTACTGTATGAAAGATCTGCTTAGCTAGGGTTTATAGATGGTTCTGTGTGAATTATCCTGAGCTATTATTATTATTTATAAGCAATTCTAATGTTAAGAGTCAACGAAGAAACATTCTCATTTATTCAACAACAATCAACTCAATCAACAAATTGTGTATGAAATTTATTAAAAATTAAATGTAGACAAAAACAGTACAAACAGTCTGTCTGTCCGTCTATCGATTTAACTTCAACGTGATCCAGTAACCCAGATAAGTCGTTCAATGTAACACTTAGCACATTATAGCGAAGTAATGCCGCTGAATATGAATGAAGCTGCCAATAATCATCAAGTGAATTCTGAATAATATTTAAACTCAACATTTATTCATGTACATTATTAAAACAACCTCGGTGGTCTAGCGGTTTAGCACACCATCTTACCTCCGATGGTCGCGGGTTCTTTCCTCGCACGATTCAAACATTTGTATTCATGAGTTTGTATTGGTCTGGCTGTTTTATTATATGAATTTTTAAAAAAAGTACATTTACGTGTTTCGTAAACTTAAGTCGTATCCGTCAGGCGGGAGTTGGTCTTCAGCCGCTCCATAAGTCCTTTCGGTGAAGCTGTGTAGGCCGGCTGCGGCCAACAGCATTAGAATAGTCCGAAAAAAAAAGTACCATCAGATGGGCCTTCACTTATTTCGCATCCCAGTTATGTAAAAAAATGTCACAACTTCCAATATTTGAAATTTCACTATATGAATAACTTACCTAACCATAATCGTTTAGCAATATGCGGTGGGAATATAAGATGGAGAAGACTGACATTCTTCTCTCGTTCCTTGTCCACTGCTTTACTTGCTTCTTCTATTGAATTCTTTAATTTATCCATTCTTCTCCGTAAACCGTCCTGTTGATACACAGCTATTATATATAACATTTTTTTTATTACTTCAGAAATGTAGGACAGATATAATCTTGGATATGAATGTTTGTATTGTGCTCATTAGCTATCAAATTCACGATAAGAGAACGTAAACTAGAATGCGTCTGTGAAAGCTTTACATATTTTATTAAATTGCAATGGTGAACTATTCTATATATGTATAAATTCCCCAATACAATGTAACACCCATTGTAAGTATGGAGACATAAGTTAGTCCTGTGGATGGGCAAAGCAAGTAACTTCACTTGTCATTCGTGAAGACTAACTTAACATAATTTCATACTCTGTAATAATAATAGATTATTATATTAATAACAATTATCTTTTTTGTTTGATACGTGGTACTGCTTTGGAGTTTACTTAGTGTAGTACATGACATGCCGCACATAGAGTACACATGGCTAAGCGTGACCTTTATGCTATCCCCCGTGAATTATCAACTGGTGAAATCACCACGATGTGTTAACTGACTGACATAGCTTCATCCTCATACTATCGTATGCTCCAACGGAGCCTTGCCAGGATCCACTATCCTATATCAATCCATAAAAAAAATAATTTATACAAACCTGAGCCCGTGCCTGTTCTCCAACAAGTATGACATCTCGGGTTGCATCGTGGAGAGGTATATCCGATATGAAGAGACCTCTTCCTGTAAGACCTTCCAATCCATCCAGGAACGGAGACCCCACAAAAAGCAGAGAATCAGACTCAGGACAGAATACCATCTGGCCTTTAATCTCGAGACCCTGTTAATTTTAAACAAATATTTGTTTATTTATTTAATTATAAAAATATATATTTTACTAAAATATTTATTTAAAAAAGACACAACTAATAAATGTGTTATATAGAGCTGGAATCCGTGGTGTTGCGAATATGCTGAGTTGTGGCTAATATTGAGGAATGATAAATAAAAGTTATGTACATAAAAAAGTATATAAACCTTTATTAATCCCACTACATAAGAAATAAATCCTATTACGTGACATGTTATTCCTTGTTAATTTTTTTCTGCATTTGATTTTTATATTTATAACAAAACAATAATTTAATTAGATATGTAGACGGTTTAGTTTTAATAAATCCATCGGTTCTAGCCTACAATCATTAAAATTCATCACTCGTTCCCACTATCTCGCGAAAACAAAAGATTAATTATGTAACGCTGTTACTAACAATTATCAATTGTAACAGATCAAAAACGATGAGTTTTTGGGATTTTCTATGACAATTGCATGTAGATAATTGCAAAATTATAGATTTAATACCGTTTCAAACATTCTACAACAGCGTAAGGTAATTAAGTCAGAGGTAGTAAATATATGATGTGTATCTATCGTACATGCTATTCTTGAATTAGTAAGGTTGGTAGTTTTGTTTACATTGTAATTAGTTAGACAAGAACGTCCCTTACCTTTACTGTATCAAGGATTTTGTAAACAAGTAATTAGCAGGAGTATGTACCTACTCTTACTGCACACCTAAATAGATATTGACATTTTGATATTTGTACACACTGTATAAATACCTGAAGTAGTTTACTAGCATTGTTTGAACGTCGAAGGTGGTGAGTTCGAATCTCTTCGAAGTTCTGGTTGATACCAAAACAATTTGTATGTCAATATATAATACTGAGGGACTCTCTGGTGCTCAATAATATAAACAAGTTTAATCAGAAAGATGGCGATAACAACAAAAACATATCATCATGACTGTTGTCTTATTTGGTGTAATCAGTGGTATTGTCAACTGTTGTGGTGAACGTACAACTTGACATGCCCACTTCTCGCTGGGTATCTTTGAATCCAATGTGGCAGGTAGCGAACTTATCGTCGTCTTTCGGATTAATATTTGGTTTTGTTATCAGTGTTTGCTTCACAGAAAAGCGAATCAGTCAGAAATATAAATTGAAACAAAGTTTCTTTTTTTGTATAGACCAGATTAGATATCTCGACCTTTTGAGTGTAAGTCGGGGTAATGAACCGATAAACTATGACGGTCTGTCATATATAGTATATACATATCTGAACATATATATTGAGTATGTCTTATACACCCTTACGGGAACTCTTATATATGAATACAATGATAATAACTAATATAACATCACAATTAATTAACCTTATTAGCAAAATCATGTAAGACAATTCACGAAAATGGGATGTACAGGGAAGCTAATATTTTTTTTGTGAAAATATGAAGATATGTATTCATTTTTATAATTACGCGTCCTTGTAAACTTTCCTCCCTTTTCAACCCTTTTTTAGGATAACAAATACTCTACCTCTGTACTAGTGATATTATTTATTTTCACATCAAATTACACGACGATCTGTTCAGCCGTTCAGTCATATAAAACCAAAAACAGACAAAAAGATTGAGAAATAATCACTATAAAATACTGTGATACTGTCATCTGGCAACACTAGTGGACGGTCGTCAAATACTACAGTACTATAACTATTGTTATAAGTTACTATCATAATCACTCTCTGCAAATATAACAAGTTCAACAGCAGTTATACCAATTACACAGGCCACAAACTCTACCAGGGATGCCAACTGTATGAGGATCCTCGTACAAATACGCGATTTTAGACCTTCGGTACGAGTACATTGATATTATTGTAAAAGTGAGTACAGGATTATGTCCTATAAAATACTGTGATGTACGAGGTTAGAGAGCCTGATGGTAAGTGATTACCGCCGGCCATGAGCACCCGCAACACCAGGGGAATTACAAGTACGTTGCCGTCGGAAGGAATAAGCACTTTTCTTGAAGGTTTCAATATAGTATCGCTTCTTGGAAATACCTTAATACTTGAAAGATGATTCTACAATGGGATTAAGCATGGCCTAAAAGTTTCTGAAAAAACACACGGCGGAGGACCGTCTTTTATTTAGATGATCAAGATAGTATTTAATTTCCGGCAGGTATTACGAAAGTGAAATTCAGCAGCTAGTGTTAGTGCTAACAATTCTTCAGAATACTGCATGATATATGAGGTAGAAAGGCACAAATGCAATGTCACGCCACAAAGCCAATAAGTACCATACGAGATTTTAACAGATTTTTTATTTGTTCGGTTAAAGCTGTATGTTTTAATGTTGGCAGCCCTGAATTCTACTAAACTCTAATGGCAGGGCAAACAATATGATATGCATGGGCACTCGCGGGGCGGATTATGTGAATAAGTCTCAAAACTTGACTTTTCATTCACACCTAGTTGGTAACTTGCGTAAATATTTCATGAGTTAACTCGTAATACTTTTGTTGGAAGTTTATGGAAACCTTTCCTTTTAATGGTACTTTAAGTTTGCTTTCGAATCTTGTATTCTTTTTAATACCCTACAAGATAAAAGGATGTTAGAAGGAAAACTTTACAACAAGTAAAGTTTTCCAAGCTAATCATAATAATAATAACAAAGTACAATTCAGATATCGCCATGTAATCTGAAACTTGTGTTGTGGATGTTTTGGAAATATAATAGAAAACACCCAGACTAATACTAACAAGCAAACTCATAATTACTAATTTGTATCGAGCGAGAATCGAACCCACGACCATGGAAAGTAAGGCGGTTTGCCAAAGCGCTGGAATATCGAGGTCATCGTCGGTATGAATGTTATCTAAATTACACACTAATTTAAATCAGATTTTGCTAAAGAAAAGATATCTACCAGGTGTACATGAGCAACTCCTTATCACAGTGATAGGGCTGTGTCATACAGTTGTATGACGCAGTTAAATGGACCGGAAACGCAGCGGTCGGAACTTCTAACAGAATTATTCAGGGATAGAATCTACCCTGCCATATGTATACAGTATATAAAAATTCGAATGCATTTCCATAACAAAAAAACAAAAGTCTAATTTGCAATTCACACGAATGTGTTATCATTTTATCTTTTTTTTTAATGGGTTACTACAGTTAATACTGATACAAATTGAGACTTTTTACAGAAAAAGAGGTATTTTGTTTTTACTGCATCCAAGAAAATAATCAAGGTTTTTCAAATTTAATCGTAATAACTGTCGAAGTGTGAACAGTTTTCGATTACGAGCAACCTTTTAATATACTTGGTTTTAAGGTCAGGCATTTGGGTGGTCTAAAATAATGTAGGTCATTCCATCATTCGCCTTCTATAATACTGCATAGTTGTTGAGGAAAAGGAGCCAAATATTTCGTAACGAGGATAATGAAATATTTTGTTCGTGGTATGCGCTGTGCCATTAATTTGGGAAAGGGTGAGCTATTAAGGGACAGAATTTCTTGCATTTTTTTACATTGCTTCTCACATTATCGTCGAAGATGTGCTTGACCAAAAATATTACAACATTCTTTATTTCAATTTTACATACAAAATCATTGGTAACAAACATGACCATCTGAATGGAATGGGAAAATTTTAATTAAATTCAATAAAAGAAAAAATTGTAAGAATGTAATTAATGTATAGGAATAAATACTATAGAGTTCACAATTTAAAAAGAAAATGTGTGTAGTAAAGTTAGTAGAGAATTTATAAAAATATTGCGAACCATAACTATAAAAGTACATCAAATTATTCTAATAATATAATTAAAAATCTATTTAAAATATGGATTCAACAACATAACTTAACAATTCTAGCTGTTCTGGACCTCATATTGTATAATTCTATTAAAAATTTGGAATGCGTAATATTATTTTAGGTTTTAGAATAAATTATTGTTGCAGAGGTTAGACGGTTTTTTAATAATTTATACAGTAGCTAAATAAAAGCTTAACATTGTAATAATTCCTTAGATTACACTAAAATAATTTTTAGAATCAACAGATCTACTCTGGAGTATAATTTCAATATCGATTACAGTTTTGTAATATTCTTTTAAAACATAATCAAGAGAATGTTAAATAAGTTGAAAACAATATCGAATACATCTTTTATTTATCTCGAAATATAAAATTAATACATTGCAAGTATTTAATTAAAGAGTACAAAAAAGTGCTAAATGATAACCGATATCATTGCATCAGAATTAATATTCAGAATACATCGTTTGCTTTTGCTATGATATTCGGTAAACGAAATTGTCCTCCAATTGAGAATCGTTTCTTGCAGCCGGAGAAAATAAAATAACTTTTGAATACAGTTTAACAAAGCGCCCACTAAACTTACGGAACCACTAGGATTCCGTAAACTTATTCATTCTTCAAACTTTGAGGTAGCAGGACCTGGGAATTTCCAGAATGTTCCAGTTCCATTTAAACTTACTAACACGAATAGTTGCTAAAAGCTGTGCTTTTGAACTTCTACATGGGTTTATGGGCATTTTTGAATTCCAATGGCATTTTGGTTAGCAAAAACAAATTCTGCATATATTTTTTATTATAGTTAGTCCTATATATTTCTGATTAACACAGTCTTATTATTCCCATACTAAGGAAAACTAAGCAAAGTCTATGGTTGCTAGACAAATGAAAGAAATACTTAATATTTATTTTTTGGGAACTTAATACATGAAAAACACCCGTTCAATGCATGGCCTCGATGATCTAGTAATTTAGCATTAGTTCACACCGCTTTACTTTATATGGTCACTGATACGATTCCTCGCACGGTACCAACTTTTATTTTCATGAGCATGATTGTTTATTATGTATGTATTTACAAAAAAGAAATATAAGTATATGTTCCAGTTGTACCTGTAACACAAGCTCTGCTTAACTTGTGACTAGGTGGCGATGTGTGTCCAGAGGA